GTAAGATTGAAAAATAAAAAAAGATTTAATAAGATTCATAGGTTGAGGCCTAAGCCTATAGAGATTGGAGACTGGATTCTAGTTTATGATAGTAGCCTTGAGCATCAGCATAGTATTGTAAAGAAATTTGTAAAAAAATGGTTTGGACCATATGTGGTGGTTATAGTCCATGATAATGCTACATATACCTTACATGAGTTAGATGGATCTATCATTAGAATTCCAATAGCAGGAAAGAGGGTGAAGACTTTCAAGAGAAGAGATAGGCAGTTTCAAATAGAAGATCTTTAAGAATTCTTACTTCAATATTTGGACCAAAAAGATAAAGAAGAAGAACCTATGAGTGATTCAAAGAAATCTTAAGATGATGAGGATGAGTGATATGTGGCATATACCAGAGGATGTGCAAGTTTAGAGGAGGTGGATATCATACTGTAATTGCTTATAGTATGTAAAAATTAATTAAGATATATAATATGTTTGTAAGTCTTGATGTAGATTAGAGTGGTTAGTTAATAAATTTAAAGAGAATTGACATAAGGAAATTTATTTGGAGATTTATCTATTTTTATTATAGTGTTTATATTATGTAAGATTTAGATATTTAGTATAAAGCTTAAGAGAAGGTTAGAATTTAAAGATGAAAGTCTAAACTATTAAAAGACTTATTGGGAAGGATGAAAATAAGATATAATTGGATGAAGGTAAGGAGTGAAGACCTTCATCCTTATTGGTCGAATGTCATGCCGAATGGACTTTAACGAGGCTACTTGAGGCCTTATTAGGAATTAAGATTTTACTTTTGGAGGCATTCAAGCTTTGGAGATTATAATTAGTAAGCTCAAGATTTTGGATATAATTTGGGTGAAGAATTTGTGTGATTTCGAGTTTTTGTGAAGGAGATATAGGTGTTCAAAGTCAAGATGTTAAATTTGTACCTATTTTCACTCTTTGAAGCATAACATATGCATATGGAGAGAAATAAAAGATCAGCGACTAGAATTGGAGAGAACACTTTCTTGGCTACATTTATGCTATTTGATAAATTCTAAGTTTAAATGGAGTTATAGGACATTGAAGATAGCACATCTAATTCAAGAGCAGTAAGTAAATCATTTTATTGATAGTAATGGTTGGAGCCATATCTTAAGTTTCTAGACGAATTTTTGGCTCAAAATTTTTATAAATGTGAGATATTAGGTTAAGAAGCTATAGATAAAAGTTTCATAGTATTTAAGTACTTATTTTGTGAGATATGAAGAAAATAGCACATAGGTGATTATAAGCTAGGATTTAAAGCTATTGTTAAAGTTTTGGTGATATCTTAAGTTTTACAATGAATTTTTAGTTGATTTCTTTTTGTAGAAGTTTTTGAAAATATATCAATACTTCATATAAAATTTTAGATTATCTGAATGGTCCAAACATGAGATATAAACTGTTGAAGTTTAAAAAATATTTTTTATAAGGATATATAAGTTTTTAAGATATTTTATCATATATTTTTGATGTTTTTTTTTGGTACTTGAGCTTAGGTTTTGATATAATTTCTCTAAAAGAGAAAATATTATATATATAAACTTGATACTTTTATATGTTAGACTTGATTGAGCATTTAGTGGCAACTAGAAGCTCAACGCTTTCTTAAGGCAAACTCTCTCTACTACGATATCGTAGATCTATTTTTGTATAGATCTTAGCTTGATTTAGTTGATCAAGAAGTCTAGATATCAAAAGTAGAAGATACCTATTCTTGATGGTAATCTTGTTGAATCCTCAATAATCAACATATATCCGCAATGATCCATCTTTCTTCTTCACAAATAAGATTGAAGTTCCTACTGGTGATTTGGAATGGCATATGAAATTCTTGGCTAGATTTTCTTCAATATATTCCTTGAGTTTAGCTAATTCATTTTGTGATTAACTATAGATTGGTCTAAATGGTAAATGCTACTTAAAGTCTTCACATTATTAGAAATAGGTGTGGCATAAATGACATAAGGTGATCCTTCTTTTCTAGCATGCAAAAAAGCTCTTGCACCTACAAATATAGCTTTAATTATACTAGATCTATGACTTTTTACTAGATTAATTTCACTCTTAATTATGCTTTTAGAAAAATCAAGGATACAAGAAATCGAATCTATGCAAGGATTATACTTTTCTAATCATGATAAACCTAAAATGACTGAATTAGAAGAAGATCTAATTATATTAAAGATTATGCAACTACTATGACCATTTATTTCTACATCTATAGGAAGTGTTTCATAAGTAACATCTCCAGAAGACAACGGATGACCATCTATGACTTCTACATGAACAGATTTGGTTTTCTATACTAACGGTATTTTATAACTTTTAACATATCTATGTCTAAGAAACAAGTTGAGGCTCCTAAATCTATCAAGGCATAAGCTTTATAATTATTATGTCCTAAATACATATCTATTATAAAACAACGAGATGGTTTTGAGGAAAAGATAAGACCTTCATTAGAAATTGTACAAGATTCCAGCCACATGGTCCCTATTATAGCTAGACAAATTTATTTTCCAACACATTGTCTTCTTTCACAGATGTGCTCTTTATTTTGTAATTTTGTCGCTTCTTTGGACAATTTTGAGCAATGTATTTAGGTTCTCTACAATATAATCACAATTCTTCTTGACGACAACGAGTCTTTTCTTACTTAGTAAGACATTTAAAATGTACTACATCAATTTGCATATCCTCTACTTTTGAATGTATGTATTGAGGAGATGTTGGTATTGCCATTGAATTGTAGTAACGTTGAGGCTCATTTGTACAATTCTCAGATCAAAATTCAAAAAGTCGATTATTGCATTTCACAACATAGTCAATTGCTTGACTTAATGTTTGAGAATCAGATAAGTTGAGCATCAATTTCTTTACTTCATATTTTAATCCATAGAAAAATTGGCTAATAAATGTGACATCATTGTACTTGATATCAATTGTAAGTTGTCAAAATTGTGAAGCATATAATGTTATAGATTGATTGCTATATTGTAAAATATGGATCTTGTTGGTTACAACACCAGTTGCATTATGTTCTCCATACATGGATAAGAATTCTGCCAAAAATATCTTCAGATTATCCAATATTGAATCTCGTTGTTCAAGAAAAGATGAAAATCTTAATAGTATTGAACTTGAAAGAAATGTATTAATGAATCTAACTTGTGATCTTGAAGTTGGATAGCTTTGAGATTGAAGTTCAATCAAAAGTTGTATTTGATTGATAAATCTTCAAAATTTGGATCTTGTACCATCAAACTTCTCAGATAAAGCAACTCTTAGTTCTCTAACATTTGAAGGATGTTTCACCATTGGTACAAGGACATGATTTGGTGCAGATGTTGAAGTAGCTCTAATCATCGCTATATCCTCACTTCCTACTATTCTTGTTGATCTTTGTAGTGGTAAGCTAAGTTGATGCATTGTAAGCATCAATTCCTTCAATTTCTCTTGTATTTGTGCCATTGCACTCTTCATTTCAACAAGTTCTGCCACAATAAGACTCAGAAAAATATCTAATTGCACTCAAGATAAATAGAAAAAAGGACTTGAGGAGAAAGAAAATACTAAGAACAATATCAGTTTAGATGAGGGTAATCTGCAACTTCTAATATGCTTATGTCTTATGATGAGAAAGGGATAATCCACTCTTAATCAAGACAAGACAAATCTTTGATACTATAAGTGTACTCTTGTCAATGTGTCAAAGATATGAATTAAAAGATAATGGATAAACTAATGAAATCCGTATCAAAGAAAGAGTGACAAAATAAAAATAAGGAAGTACGTATATTAAAAGAAACTAGAAAGGCTTATTACAAAAAGACAAGAAAACTTAAAACTCTTGAAACTAGACTAAAAGTAAGAAAAGAATTGATAAGAGTGACGAAGGTTTTACTCTTGTCTCTATATATATTATCTAATTAGGAGCTATGTGGTGATGTTCTATAAGACCTCCAACATGTATTGACTTTGTAGGACACATGCCTTGACTTATAAGGCAAGTTTTTTTACATGTGGGCTACATAATTAGCTTAGTCTTCAAGCTAATAACATGTGTGGTACATAGCCAACTTGTTCACCACGTTTCTAATCCAAAAAGTCAATTAAAGACACCTATAAATTCAAGGCGTCTATAAAGCTTCTAGGAAGCTTTTATAGGAGATATTATAGAATTAAATTGCTTTTACCAACTTGTACTTACTTCTACCTATTTATATAAGTAATTATTGACTTACATGCATATGTCTATGACAAAAACTTCCAATATTTAGTAATTTTATTACAGGTAGAAATAATTTTTAATAGTATAAAAATATATTGTTTAAAGGAAGTTATGAAAACCTCAATAATAATTAAGTGGGTGGTTTTATTTTCTAAAATTAAATATTATTGATGGCTGAAAGGACCTATCAACTATCTTCAAATAGAACATAGATCAAAGTATGTGGCAAATATAATTCTATATATTTTGGACTTTATCAGTATGTCATCATAGCTTCTTCTGAGACTCATGCCTAGAAGGGAGGATAATATCATGGATTTACATATTTACTTCAATAATTATGAATAAGTAAATATATGTGCAATTAATAACATCTTATAAAATATCTCCTGATTTCAAGTTGGCTTTGCCTTTATATTCATAGTCATAGATTACTTCACCTGAATTGTATATCAAATTTTATCTTCTTCATTAACCAAAATCAAAGATACAATGCCTTTTTGGATATTATATTCTACTTTCTTTTTCTTTTAAGTACTTTTCTTTCTCCACTATATATAATCGATGCTACCATTCAAAATAAGTGAGTTTTACTTAGCTATCTTTTCTTTTATCCAAGTGCTTTAGTAAAATTATTTTGCAACTTATCAAAACCAGTTTACAACACATATACCAATTGTGATTTTTCCAGCTAATTGAATATGATTGACATCCCTCTCCACAACTTCGATTCGTTGAATTCCAAAAACCTGGTTCAAGTATGCCCAACTTCCATCCCAACAATGAATGCTCACCCACAAATCGGACAAAAATGTCCACCATATGGTTCAGCTTGCTTTGCTTCTCCTAGTCAGAACCAGAATTCACAGTGATGGCAGGTGAAGCGTGAAGTAGACTGGTCATCACTCGTGATTGCCAGAACAGCAATCTGCCCAGCCGTGTTCACTGCCTCAGATTATTAAAATCAACTCTTCCAGCTACTTTTGGAAGACCAGTCGGTTCCTCTAAGACCAGACCATCAATTACAACTACCGATTGAATGCATACGTAACTCTAATCTGGACATCCTTTACTTGTTGAAAGGGGCCTGAAGTTTGTCCACCACTTGGTTATTGACCTTGAACGCCGCAGTGTGCACATTGTCAGGGATGCCACTTCCGAACAAGGTGACAGGGATGGACACAGTGCCAGGGTTGGAGCTGCTGAAGGCCACGTATACGCACGCTGGCCTGCTGCTCATATTGATCTGGTAGTGCACCAAACCCTTCGGGAAAACGAACACGTCGCCCTGGTAGAGGGTCTTGGTGAAGAGCTTGTTGGTGGTGTCGACGAGTCCCACGCTGAGCTCACCCTCCAGAACAAGGAGCACTTCGGTACCTCTGGGGTGGGTGTGGTGAGGGTTGATCCCGCCTGGAAGGTACTTGATCATGGCGGACGAAACTCCCAACCCAGTGAGCACGGTAAAGCTGTCGGAAGTGATCCTCTTCACTCCAATCTTGGCGGGTGCGACGACGTTGACTCCGTCGCGGAACACCTGGGATGTGAAGTAATCGCCTGTGAGGGTGGCCTTGTCGACGCCGGGCGCGACGAAGAAGTCGGAAGTCAGCTCGGGGTCCGAAGCCTGGGCAGCGACCAGTAAGGCCAGGGTAACAACGGCGGCGAACATGACACGAGCCATTTTCATCAAGCTTCTGCACGAAAAATCGAGTTCAACGAGCATTCGTCAGTTTGTGAAGACTGGGTACGAAGATTGCGGAACTGTGAGAGCGGTCATGTTGGTTAGTAGCGACGCTTGACCTAGAGCACAATGGACGGACTCCAACTTCTGAAGCCATTAGAAAATCTGACATGTAAGTTGGTGAAGGTTGGAAGATGTGGGCATTGGAGTCTCTATGCAGGCTTTGCGAACTAAACATGTGCGGTTTCACACCACGAAGTCCAGTCAGGTCGTAAAAAAACTCAGACAGACAGATCTTTTTGCAGAAATGAACATGAAGTGAACTGCTAGCAGCTCTGCTCTCAGTAAAGAGATTTTTATGCTTTCTTTAGTGTCAGACTTCAGCAGAAAACAACTAACGGATGCAAACATCTCTTATTGAACCCTAAAGCTTGAGAACAGTTCGAAGCAAATCCAAAGCAACTGTCAAAGTGGAGCATCATCACACCTGATGAAGGGTTCAAAGTAGATGGCGAAGGGGGGGTGACGCAGACAAGATAAACTGAACTGTAGCCCAAGGAGCCAATTTATGGGACTCAACAGTCGAAATATCGTCAGGGAGCTTTGAAAGTATTTTGGAAAGCAGCTCGATCTAAACTTGGCACACGGAAACTCTTCTACAAATCCAGCAGTCTGCTGTAAGCTTAGGATCGATTCGACTACTGTTCAGGACTCTGCAAATTGTTGCCGAAAAGTTTCGCATAAGCATCTGCTTCCTGCAGCTGTGTATTGTAAATCCGACTGTTCTCATTGCGAAGGACTCGGGCCAAACTAATTTCCACTGTCGAGGTCTGGGCATCGGTAACGCTGTTACGGACGACTTAGCTTGCAGTTTAACCGGGATGGGGCATAAATAGGCGATTCTCTTTTGTCACGCTTTGATAATCAGTTTTAAGTCAACTCTTTATTTGTCAACCATCTCGGATTGGAAACAAAGAACGCGTAGATCTGGGCACTCGACCGCGTGGTCACCTTTTCGTTCGGGAACCAGGGAGTACTGAATCTGATGTACTTTATCGCTTCAGAATGCTCCAGAATTGACCTCTATTAAAAGAAAATGAGGATGTGGATCATTACAGAATGATGCGCCATAGACTCACAATAGATTTCAATCGGGTTTAGGAGAACGCAATTGTTAACCCAGGCCAAAGTGTTTGCTTTGGGTGCTGCTTGTGAGGATGGCGGCCATGCCGCTACTCTCGTATAAGGCACGTGCAGAAATAATGTTCAGTTTGCGCAATATGAGGCTTGAATAGTTATTGGCAAGATGGAAATGTGTTCACAGAAAAATAGTCTAAAAATGGAAATAACCACAAACAGTGTGAATTTGCTAGATGGGAAATCACACAAGATTAATACTTTAAAATTTATGCCAAGATATATCTTTTTTAACTTGATTTAAGGAACTTTGGAGGATTGTAATTACATAGCTTGAGTTGTAATAGTTAAGTACATATAAAAGTGGTCAAATAAATAATAAAATATTAAAATAAAATAAAATAAAAATTCAAGGTATTTTTTCATGGTAAATTTAGATCTAAGAGTAGTATGCAATGGTTTTCATTTTTATTAAAATAAAATAAATACAATAGAAATTATTTTAGATGAATTTTTTACTAAATTTAGTTTATTCAAAAGAATCAAATTTTAAGAGTCTCTTTTAAAATTATGATACAAAATGTGTTATATCTCAATATCCATTTGAAAAAAAAAATGCCATTCTTAAGGATCTTCATGTCTATTACATTATCTTGAAAGCTATGACAAACTCATTGACTTCTTTAACAACTTAATAAAAGATAGTTCTTGAATTAAATCTACTAGTTGTTAATTCTTCATCTCTTTAACCTCATAAAGAAAATAAAATAAAATCTTCAATAGACTTATTTTGCTTTATAGCAAAGAATTTCCTTACTATTTATTTTTTTTTATAATTTTTATTGATAAAAAATATTAATCTTCTATGCCACATTTGTAAGATTCTTAAATGACTTTTATGTACATTCATTAATATCTTATCTATATCAATATATATTTTAGAATTTCTTTAAGCTTCAAACTTCTTTCATATTAAATTCTTGATTATTGTACAAAAAAAGTAATAATTGTCTTCTTTCTTATATATCCATTGTCTTATATGGCTCAAAAAAAGATATGCAAAATACAAAATGGACCTTTTAAGAATTTAATAGGTATAATTAATATTCTACTAGATTGATTTATTTATAAATAAGAAATAATTAAAATTTATATTAATCCAATTTGTTACAAATGCAAATAGTCTTAATATTACAACAAAGCAATCATACATTATTACTATCATGGTATTGAGGTTGTTTTTTGCAATAAATATTTATGTTGTTCTTATATTATTTTGGGCTTCTTTTATTTGTATATTTATTACTGCATGTAGCTCTAATAAATATTTTATCAAATTTTATGCCAAAAGATTTATAACTTTGAAGAAGTTAAAAATATCAAATTATGGATAGTAATTATAATTATTATAGAATAGTGATTATTTGAATAAAAAAATATATTATATTATTATAGAACTTTTTTTTCAATAACAAAAGAATTATTAAATCATCTTAATGTTAGTTATTGGTATATCTCAAATATTATTCAAATACTTACTTTACATATTTTGTTTATCCATCAATTTGAAGATAGAAAGCCAAAGATGATTCCATATCTACTATTAATATTTTGAAAAGAATTCTCTATAATCTAGATACAATTGAGTTTGGCTTATCAGGTATTAGAAGCTTTTTCATAGATCTACGGGTTCTATGATCTACTAGAAGAAATTCTAACTTTTGAGATACCCAATTTATCCATTATTAGGATAGAGAGAATTTGCCTCAAGACAGCACAAGGCTCATGGTTGCCACTATCTCAATCAAGTCTTGAGATAAAAAATACCAAGTTTATATATATATATATATATATATATATATATATATAACATTTTTAGGAGCAATTACACCAAATATATAAGTCTTAAGTTCCCAAAACATCCAAAATATGATAAAAAAAAACTCTAAATCCTTGTATATCCTTTTGGAATATTATTTTTGAACTTCAAAAATTCATAACTTCCAATCGGACCGTTCATACACTTTCAAATTTTACATGAAGTACTAATATACTTCTAAAAACTATCACAACAAATTTCAAGTGCAAATTCATTGCAGATCTTAAGATATCACTAAAATCCTAACATTAGCTTCAAATCCTAGTTTTTATACATCTACATGCAATTTTCTTCATATCTCACAAACTAAACATTTAAATACCACAAAATTTATATGTATAGCTTTTTAACACAATAATCTATCTTTTTCAAAAGGTTTGAGCCAAGAATTCATTCAAAAGCTCAAGCTATGGCTCTAATCATTACTATGAACAAAATCACTTACTTACTACCTTTGATTTGGATATGCTGACTTTAACTCTTTATAACTTCTTCATCTAAACTTCAAATTCATCAAAAAATACATGAAAAGTATAGTTGAAAAAAATTTCTCTCCAATTCTAGTTGCAAATCTTTTATTGCTTTTTGTAAACATATGTTATGTCCCAAAGAGTAACAATAGGTATGAAATTGACAACTTAACTTTGAGCACTAATAACTCCTTCATAAAAACTCCAAATCACACAAAATTATAGAACCTAAATATTTAGTATGAAGTCTTGAGAGGAGATTAAATACTATAATAAAAAAAAATAAGACTCAAAATAAAGTTTTTTATATCCACACTCTTTACATTAATCTATTAATCATTCTAACATATATCAAGACTTATGAACATATTAAATATTTTAACTAATTTTTACATACTATAAGCAATTAGAGTATGACATTGTAGATTAAATTTTTCAAGCCATGACAGTCCTAAAATGATTAGACTTGATGGTGATCTAATAACATTGAATACTACTTAATTGTTGTGATTGTCAAAGATTATTTCTAATAGAATTGTCTCATGAGTGACATCTCTAAAAGATAAAGATTAACTATCTATTACTCGTATATGTACGGCTTTGGATTTTTTGACCATATAGATTTTGTGTGATCTAAAAAATTCTTTATTAATAAAATATGTAGAGGCTCCCAAGTCAAGTAATGTATGACATCCTAGTTTTGTGACTCCTAATTGTACATATATAGTTAAACAATAAAAAAGGCAAGCAAAGAATACATGACATTTTTTGATTTGTAATAGTGAAGAATCAAGCTGCACAGTCCTTACTATAGCTGGATGCCCTCATTTTTCTACAAAGCTTTTGATGATGTAATTGCACTTCTTATTTGATATGTATGCTAGAATTTCTCTGAATAATTATCAACCTTGTGGCCAAATTTCTATAATATAAGTATAGGCCAAGTTCCCTTTGACATTTTTTTTCTTGCTTAGAAAGAGATTTGAAGCAAATTGCATCAATCTACATATCTTCTACTTCCAAATGTTCATTAAAATTGGATGGTGAAGATGTTGTAGAATAATTAGTGTATACATGTGGCATAATTGAAGAACATTTAATTTGTTGTTGTTGAAATAAACAATTATCGCACTTCACAGCTTAACTAATGGCTTTATTGAGTGTTTGAAAATTTGGCATAGACAACAATAAGTCCTTGATATTGTCTCTTAATCCTCAATGAAATTGGCTCATCAATGCATCTTCTCCTCAATTTATATCATATAGTAATTGTCAAAAATCTAAGACATACATTGATGGAAAATGCATTCCTTGTCAAAGGCTTTGAATTTTTGTTATTGAAGAATAAATCTTATCATGTTCACTAAATGCTTTTGTAAATACTACCAAAAATGCTTCAAAATTGTGTAATATAGGAAAATTCTCTTTAAATAATAGAACAAACTAAGATAAAGCTTGACTTGAGAGCAAGGTTCTAACCAAACCAACACGAGATACTTCAGTGGAATATCGTTGAGGTTGAAGTAAGGTGATTAGTTATACTTGGTTTACAAAGCCATGAAATTTTGAACGGATGCGATCAAACTTTTTTAAAAGGCTGATCTTTGATTCTTTTGTTGTTATTATTTTTAGATCATTGCCTTCAGTGGATGTACCTCATATGTTTGTTGAAGCAGATATAGTCATTTCAAAATTTGGAATCTCTATTGCCATTTGATGTAGTGGTTGAGGTACTTCGGCTCCTTGACCATTATGTATGGTCAAATATAATTCTTTATTTTCCTTTCACAAAGTCTATGTCTTGATCTTCAATGCTTCAAGAGCATTAATAATAGATCTAATTTGATATCTTTGAAGTTTGTTATATTAATTTTTTTGCCATAGAAAATCAAAGAAACATACATATTCAAAGAAAAAAAAAAACTTGATTTATGATATATATATATATATATATATATATATATTAAGAAAAAAATAATATTAGTTGAGAGGAGGATAATCTGCAACCTCTAGAATTTATAATACTTCCTAGAAGAAATGTAATCCACTCTCTATCAAGAAAGACCAAGCTTCTAATATATTTTATAGCAATCTTGACAAACTATTAGAGACCATTGTCGAGGTAGAGAGAGTTTGCCTCAAGAAAGTACTGGGCTTCTGGTTGCCACTAAATGCTCAATCAAGTCTAAGATATAAAAGTACCAAGTTTATATTTATAATATTTTTCCTTTTAGGACAATTACATCAATACATAAACCCAAGTACCAAAAAAAAAACCCAAATGTATGATAAAGTATCTTAAAACCTTATATATTCTTATAAAAAATATTTTACAAACTTCAACAGCTTATATCTCACGATCGGATTGTC